AGCTGATTAAGCCCTCTTCACCTTTAAATCAGTTTTATCCTGATTGGCTAGTCTTCACTAACAAAAGGTTTGCATGGTGGGTGTTGGAGGCTTCTGTGCTCACAGTGCCTGAGACCAAATTGAGGATCTCCCCTCTGTATATCATACAAAGGATTTGTGTAGACATGCTTTCATGTTAAGCTTCTTATTGATCTTTTAAGATTTGATTTACTAACACAGGAGCAGTGACGAAACTCTGATGTCTTACACTGAAACATTTATTGTACTAAGATCAGTGTCAGGGAAAATTACTATATAATCTGCACGAGTTCGAATGGTAATGTAAATCTTATCCAGATAAGATTTAACATTAGTTTAAGGAAACAGCTGAAATCTTGTGTTTACTTTTCACCTAAGATTACACGAAGGTTGCTCCTCACGAGCTTTAGAGAGTCTGATTCATTATAGTTTTGCTAACGTCGCCACGCTACCAAATTCTTACACATGCATCATAGCATGTAACGTGAAAGATGTCACTCTTAGTGACTAACTTTATAAAATACTAAGCAAATGTGCATCTCATTGTTTTGGTTCACTACCTGCTCCTCACCGAACAGCAGACAGGAAGCTCTTCACCGGTCGCCCAGAGCTAAAAGCAGAATGAATACTGGAAACAAACATTAGTCCTCGTTGTTGTTTGTTCCTCTGATTTACCAGGTTTTGGTTTCACTTGGAATCAGCTGCTGAAGTTGGTCAAAGTGGTTATTAAAACAAGAAAAACAAACCAAAGCATCAACTTCATAAATGTGAAGATGAACGCAGCTAAATGACAAAGTAAAGGCTTTGACTTAAACTTCAGGTTCCCAGATGGTTTCACCTGTTGCACAGGTACAGAGTCCCAGCTGCATATGTGTGTGCACTAAAGTCAGTCACACTGGAGCGCAGCAAACCAGTTTAACCCTTTATCGGGTAAGGAACCATTTATAGTTAAAAAGATCAAACGTCTCATAGTAACACTCTTGGGTTGAAATATTTGAATTTTCAATTTTTTTGTTTTTTTTATTGTTGGACTTTCCTCGTCAGTCGCACAGTTACCTTCTCTCTGCATCTGCCCTGAGAGAAAACACACACGTGCACACTAATCGAGTACTTTTGAGTGTGTGTGTGTGTGTGTGTGAGAACTAGGTCAGCTTCTGTTGTTATTCATATCACCACTACTAGCCTCATAACGCTGTGGGCATTATGGAAATGCCATGCAAAACTTGCAGAAGCACACACCCGTGTACGCACACACGTTTTAGCTTCCACACCCACAAACAAGTTTGTGTTCCTCCCCTGCAGCGACTTTACGCAGAGGGGGGGAGTAGGGCTTACACATCGACACCTCTGTTTGGAAAGATCCATTTTATTTTTCCACGGTTTGGATAAAACTTTAACCCTAATGTCCATCCTCATCTTCTCACTTCCTCAGACACCTCCTCAGGCTCAGAGGGCGAAGGTCAGGGGGACGGTGATGAAGAAGAGGGAGGAGAAGGTGAAGAAGAAGACGGAGGAGGCGGCGGAGGAACCTCGTCCAGCCAGGAAGGGAG